CATTGTCCAACTCTCTGATGCATAACAAGTGATTGCAAAGACCATGGCCTGTATCAGGCGCACCTTAGTCTCCAGAGAGACACCGTTGCTCTTGAAGTCCCTAACAGCAGAGTTCCCCTACAGGAGCAATAACTTTGTAAATTATTACATAACTTGGGAGGAACTGGAGAGCATTATGCTAAGTGGACTAACTCAGTCCCACAAGGATAAATATTGTTTGAGACCATTATCGTAGACTGAGTACAAGGATCCAGGAGGGGTGGGAGAGGCTGGAAGCAGAGGGATGTGGATGTACAGTGGGAAAAGGGGATTAATCATTGGATTGTACAATTTGATGGAGGGGGTTGAGGGAAATTGAAAGAATTTGTATTAGAATTTTATAAATAAACTAGTAAAAAAAACCAACAAAAACTCTCATTTTTAAAAGAACAGAACTCATTCGTTAAACAGTTACAGAGAAAAAAAATTCTCACCACAGGTACAGTTAGCAGCACCATGATGGGAAAAAGAAGAGATTGAGATTGTTAACAACTTCAGCTTGCTCGGCTCCAGTCAACACTCTTGGCACTAACAGTCAGGAAATCCGAAGACGAATTGCATTGAAAAAGTCTGCTGTAAGGGATCTCTCCAGAGTGCTAAAGAGCAATGATGTTAGTCTAGAGATTAAGGTTCACTTCATCCAGGCCATGGTGTTCACAATTACTTACTATGCAACAGAGAGCTGGACATGACTAAGGATGACAGAAGACGAATTGATGCCTTTGAGTTGTGGTGCTGGAGTACTGAACATAACATGGACCACCAGGAGAACAAATAGGTCTGTCCTGGAGAGAATTAAACCAGATTTCTCCTTGAAGGCAAGGATTTATTTATTTTTTTTTAATTTCATTATTTGTGTGTGTGTGTGTGTACCGTCAAAGCAGATCTGACTGGTACAGGAGGAGATTGTCCCTCCTTCCTCGGCAGAGCATCTGGTGGATTTGAATTGTGCACCTCTGGGATTGCAGTGCAGCTTCTTGCCACTAGGCCACCAGAGCGCCCCTAAAGGCAAGGATTTTAAAGCTCCGTCTCATACATTGGACATGTGGCCAGGAGGGACCGATCCTTGGAGAAGGACATCATGCTTGGAAAGGTGGAAGGACAGCGCAGTAGAGGAAGACCGTGGATGAGATGGATTGACATAGTAACTGGGACAATGAGATTAGATGTGTCAGAGTCAGTGAGACTGGCTCAAGACAGGGCAGGATTTGGAGATATTATACATAGGGTCACTCTGGATCACTTGATGACATGTAACAACAACAACTGAGCAATATCTTTTCAAGTTCTCTCTTTAATGCGCTGTGTATTATGAAAGTCCATAGTCTTCAATCACTTGCTATGCTGCTGAGAGCTGTACACTGAATAAGGATGACAGAAGAATTAATACCTTTGAACTGTGTTCTGGAGAAGAGTACTGATTATCCTGTGGACTACCAAAAGAACAAACATTTAAGTCTTGGAGAAGGTGCAGCTAGAGTGCTGCTTGGAGGCAAAGATAATAAGACTTTGTCTTACATATTTTGGGCATGTTTCTAGGAGAGATTATTCATTGGTAAGGGTCATTATGGTTGGGAAGGTGGAGGCAACGGTGAATGAGAGAAAAACCCTCAACCAGCTGGATTGACAGTGACTGCAGCAACAGGTTTCAGTTGTGTCAGAGATTATGAGGATGGCACAGGCTAGGACAGGGTTCACATCTATTGTTCATAGGGTTGCTAAGAGTCCTATACAACTTCACAGCACCTAACAACAACATGTATCATGAAGATTTTCGACTATGACTGATGGAAACTCAGTTACTGGCCTTCTGTGATCACTAGAGTTTTTCTTCTTGCTCCATTTTGGTGGTTCTTTACCTTAAGTAGTTTTTTCAAGTGCAAGTATTTTTCAGCACTCAGCTGAAGACTCAAGGGGTACTCCTGCCCTCGGAACTCTCTTGTGTGACATTCTACTCTTGGCAGTTTTTTCCCTCTGGCACTCACTACTGTGAATTCTAGCCACCTTGGCTTTTCTGAATTCTCAGCACCATCTCCTCAACATTGGGAGGGTGCCATGCCCAATTGATTTCCTCATTACTTTGTGTCCTGCAAACTCCTTCCTGAAGTAAGCAGGGGCAATCATAGTATTTGAGTCATCTGTTTCCTGTTACTGAGGGGTTCATTGCCAGTTATTTAATGCTTGGAAATCTTTGCTGTGTATATTTTGTTTAGTTGTTTCACATGGAAATGTGCATCTGTTCTTGTTATGCCATCATGGCCAGAAACATTATCTATCCACTGAGTTTTTCTTTCAGATACTGTATTTTTTAAATTTTTTTTGTTTCTATTTATTTGCTATTATTTCCATTCTTTCAATTGATTATAAGCATATTATTCTTTCTTGTTGAACATAGGTCTATTGATTATAAGTTTTAACATGTCATTGTTTGGGGTTAGTTGTTAGTTTCTGATAATTATCTTTTATGCAATGCAATACAGTTGAGTTGCCATTGAGTTGTACTGACCCACACAGCTGACTGTCCAGTGGGTTTTCAGAAAGTATTAATGACACAGGAGGAAACTGTCCATCTTTTTCCCATAGAGCAGCTGGTGGGTTCTAACTGCTTGCCTTTGGGTTGGGCAACACAGCTCTTTATCGACTAGGCCACTAGCTGAGGCTACCAACTTTAATCTTTTACCAATTTTATTTTCTTGTTTCTTCATGTTGTTATTGTTGTTATCTACCATAGAGTTGGTCTTTTCTTCCTCTTCTGTCTTTGTAATGACTGCCTGCACTCTTCCTGGATGATACATTTAACATCCTCCCACAACTCATCTGGTCTTCGCTCATTAGTGTTCAAGGCCTCAAATCTGTTCCTGAGATGATTCTGAAATTCAGGTGGTATGAAATTAAA